GGACACTCTTGTGGGACACTCTTGTAGGACACTCTTGTGGGACACTCTTGTGGGACACTCTTATAGGACACTCTTGTGGGACACTCTTGTGGGACACTCTTGTAGGACACTCTTGTAGGACACTCTTGTGGGTCACTCTTGTAGGAAACTCTTGTGGGACACTCTTGTGGGACACTCTTGTGGGACACTCTGTGGGACACTCTTGTGGGACACTCTTGTGGGACACTCTTGTAGGACACTCTTGCGGGATACTCCCGTAGGACACTCTTAAGGGACACTCTTGTGAGACGCTCTAGTGGGACACTGTTGCGGGACACTCTTGTGGGACTCTCTTCCAGCTCCCCAGATACTCCGCGTACTAAAGTTGTACTACAAGGTCGCCAGTTCTCAGCTTCCAGCTCCCCACATACTCCGCGTGCTACAGTTGTACTACAAGGTCGCCAGTTCTCAGCTTCCAGCTCCACAGATTGCTCCGCGTACTAAAGTTGTACTACAAAGTCGCCAGTTCTCAGCTCAAGCACGATCTCCGCAGAGGGTTGCGCGGGCACCGGACAAATCGCACTCTCGCCTGCATTTCGCGCACTCGACACGCACGATCTCCGCAGAGGGTTGCGTGCGCATGGGACAAATCGCACTCTCGCCTGCATTTCGCGCACTCGACACGCATGGGACAAATCGCACTCTCGCCTGCATTTCGCACACTCGACACGCACGATCTCCGCAGAGGGTTGCGCGTCAAGTCTCCAAAACAAGCGCTTCGTACGAGACTTCCTCAAAAACTCACACGTCAAAGTCTGCAAAACGAGCGTTTCGTACGAGACTTCCTCCAAAAGTCAAGCGCAAACACCATCAAACACCCATCGGAGCACACATCACGCAGCCCTGCCAAGCAGTTTCGCGATTCCAGCCCGCTCACACGCCAATCCCAATGTGACAGCGACATTCACCTCTACCACAACTATCCACAACTCACAACCTCACGATTCCCTGCGCCTGCCACGAAATGTCACCTCCCTCACACCTTGCAACCTCACGATTCCCTGCGCCTGCCACGAGAATCGCACTTCCACACTTCAAAGCCCGCACGAAGCCCTGCGCCTGCCACGAAAAGTGACAAATCATCGCATGTGAGCTTCAACAAAATTTGCACCACACCACACGTTTGGAATGATTTCGACCCGTTCAGAGCACACTCCCATCCACCAAAATCGCCATTTCAGCTGAGACTTGTCACGAAAACCAAGCTTCGATGCCACACCCTGAAACGCAAATCCCAATTGCACGGCCACATCCAACACCCCAAAAACACGACTCTCCAAACGCTAATCCCAATGGAACTGCGCAGCAATCTGCGGATCTCACAAAACGCTGCGCCTGTGCAGCGAAATGCATCACGTTTCTTGCGCGACATGCCGGTGTCATGCAAATCACAATGGAATAGCGGCGCAAACTGACACGTGACATATCCATGAAAAGTCACTTGCAAAAGTTTTCCCCCAATGGCAGCAAATTTGAGACGCGACGACGACGACAAACGACGAGAGACGACGACACGACGCAAGCCATGCAAACACAGGTCCAACCGCCAGACCCCCAACTATAAACGGGAACCCTTTTCGCTACGCATTCGGGAACAAAAGAAACACGTCTCGTCTGAAGCGGTTCCTCTGTTCCTCCGCCTGGTCCCCGCCGTCTGGTCCGGTTTTCGCCTGGCCTGCCCTCGGAGCAAGAGCCCAACTCCTGGGAATGGGGCCAACGATCAGCATAGGCAGGTCCTGGGAAGATGGGAATACCGGTATAAATGTAAAATGTGATCAACTTGAAGGAATCAACTGAAGGAACCAACTTGTTATGTAAGCAAGATTAAGCAATCTTGCTTACAAGTTGACTTCTTCTTTTTGCAGGCCAGCGCCACCGATCATCACTGTCACGAGTCACAACAAGTATGACTCAGGACCTTCAGGAAGGTATGTTCATGTCTTTTCCATCATGGTGCTCCCACTTTGAACTTTGACTCCAAAGACCTGTGGCCCACTCAGCACACGTGGCGTTTCACCACGCGGCCCACGCCCCACCGGGAGCCGGGAGCTCCTCAAAGCTGCCGGTGGACTCCGAGCTTGCCGCCCGCACGCCGGCATCCAGGTCCTGGTCCTCGCCGCCTGTTGGCACGACCCGATGCTAAGTTTCATAAGGTAGGTGGGGTCAAGTGGAAAAATGATTGTTGAAGCAGGTTTCACGAATTTGATCAAACATGGCGACTGGCCTGAAAAATGCCACAAGCACCTTCCTTTCAGGGTCACCCCTTCCGGAAAACCCATATACTCGTGGTCACCCCTTCCGGAAAACCCATATACTCGTGGATCTCCGTGGAAGATTCAGGAAGCTGCGTGTGTTTGTTTTTTTTACGTCCACGGGCCACCTGGGGTGGGAGGAGGAGGCCCCGGTCCACCCGGTCTGGCACCTCGCTCCACCTCGTCCTCTGACTCTGAGTCGGTGGCCATGTCGAAGCATTGCCTCGGTGCGACGGGTTTCGCGGCTTCGCCGCGGCTTCGCCTGACATGGCCATGTGTTTGGACAGATTCTTGATGGGGGGACAAAGGACACAAGTATTGGGGTAACATGGCCTGACACTCAAGAATTGTCTATGGCCACCCCTGGTTGAGTTGAAGCTTTCAATCCGACAGCGGAGCTGAGAACTCCTTCGGGTTTCACGCCTTCTTTCGGATCTGAGCAGGCTGCATACATTATACATATCATACATCCTCCCGGTTCCAGTGCCGCTCACTTTTCTGCTTGGAACCTTGCGCAGGCTATCAGGTGGCTAAAAAACATGACCAAATCCTGCATGTGTCAAGGGAAACATCTTCTGCGTGAGCCCAAAGGCTCCAAATACTCAAAGCTTTTAGTTCCCAAAACACTGCGTATACGCTCATATTCCAGTCAGTCCTGCCTGTCAACATGAAGGATTGGTCGGAATCTGGCTGGGTCGGCTCCACTCTGCTGTGCATCCTGCGGACTCAAAGCTGCAACAATGACATGGTCTGACCCGAGAAGGGGCTGATCACGGAGCGGAGTGGAGTCATACATGGCCGGCGGCCAGTGGTTTTGGTAGGTCACCAGGCTCCTTTTGCGGTGTGTGTTTCTTTTGTGGCATGATCTACACCCTGGCGACCTACACCACAGCCCTGGTCGAGTCGAACTCGCTTTTTGGGGTGATGTATACATGATTGAGGCAAGCTAGACGAGTAGCTGGACCCAGCTGCATCCTCGTTCTCCGCCATCGGATCAACCACAACGCCTTGAACATCTAGAATGAGCCACATAGGACAAACACAGAAATAGAGAGAGAGAGAGGGCCACCCAAACTTTGTCTATAAGTCTATGTCTATGAATCTATGAAGATTTAATTCCAGCTACCGTAACTGGTGTTAGCTGAGCTGACTTGTTTCAAGAAATCCATTGGTATTCACACACGTTGGTTGAATCGTTGAATCTTTGCCTTCTCAGAGCCAGTTCTGGAAGACTCTTGAAGCACTGCACGCGAGGAATGATTGAATTGATGTGAAGCTTAGGGAAGAGCAGTTCGCATGGAATGGGATCATCTTCCCATCCTCGTCTGTAAAGAAGAAATTCCAGAAACATGGGTGAAAGGCAGTCACTTGGCCCCAAGTCTGACCTCTCGTCTGAACTCCCCAAATTGATCAGCCTTTCCTCATCTTCCCCAAGGTCCAAGGAGCGTTCAATGAAGAACTCATCACTTGAGCATTTGCACTCCCTCTCTCACTCCCAGAAAGCATAGAAAATGGTTTAAGAGAACTTGAGAAGAGGGATATGTGGAGTCGAATCAAAGGTCAACTTGAGAATGGATGAAAAGACCAAAGTTTAGATATATATAGTTCTATATATGATAATCCTCAACGACAAGAAGCACTAAAAAACAACATGTCATGTCTCTTCATGGTCTGTATTGAAAAATCAATTCCAAGGGGGGAGGGGGGTGGTTGAATCGAGCTATCAATTAGATCCGGAGGAGCCCACAGCTTCGCAAGACAAACTCAAGGTATCCCCTCTTCAGGGCTACCTTTCGTGACTTGATCCCTTGACAAACATGGAATGGTCCCGACTGCCTTGTTGCCTCATGTCATGTCACTAAGGGTTAGAGCTGCTCCTCGCTCTGTGGCCAACCTGCCTAGTCCAGAGTCTTTGAGGTAGCTCAAGCAGCACGTTCAGAAGCTTGGCACGCTGTGCTCAAGGCGCCAGCAACCGCCATTTCCAACATCAAAGGCTGGGTTGAGTGCAGAATCGATTAACAGCAAGGAGTCAAGGAGGGTTTGAACACTTTCCTTTCTAGGGTGAACTTCCATTCTGGGCTTTAGGCCAGATTGGAGCAATCTAGTAACATCCAAAATACACTCTGACTCACTAACATGGAAGTGGAAAATGGTCCCTTGGAAGACAACTTTCCTCTGCAAACAGGTGTCCTAGCACAAACTGCCTAAGACTGTAGACTCCAAACAACTGCTATGACAATTGCAGCCAAACATAGCCAAACACATTAAATCATTAGGTGACATGAATACATGTACCATCATCTACATGTTGCCACCACCATCTACATCCAGGAGAGCAAAAGCTACCATGCAATAAATGCAGCCATTGCTGTCAGGGATGAGGCCGACGGAGTGGTGAAATCATTAGATATATGTGACCCTCCTTCTCAGCGAAGTACGTGGATAGGATCTCAACTGGAAAGCCACTATAGACTTCGGGCTCAACGCGTCCAAAGGACAAACATCCATCAATGTATGGACTCTTGCAAGTTGAATTGAAACGCCTCTTTACATCGGGGGTTTATGGCCCTCAAGAGTCTACAGTCTACATGAATCGATGCACCGGGTGTGCACCGGGTGTTGACCGTCCACATCGTGGCGGTTTTCCAGCGGATCTGACGGCTGTGACTGAACCGGTGTCAAGCCCGGCTCGTGCCTTTTTTGGTCGGTGAAACCGTGGAAAGGTCGCGAGGCCGCTGCCCAGACGGTCGGATCGATGCGTTGAACATCTGTGGGTCTGAGGGTGGGTGGACGCGGAGGGTGTTATACCCGGAGGGGAGGGCGTTTACGGATGGATGTTTCCCCGGATGATTCTCCTTAGACTCTGCTTCAAGCAAAGGCTGAAGGGATCCAACAAAACTGAAGGGATCAGCGAGTGTCGGCGAGTGTCCTCAGGGTTGCCACTGGAACACATCATGTCTTCAACGA